TTTATTTTTGAAAAAGAGTGTGAGCGGGGGAGGGACAGAGAGAAAGGGAGACAGAATCTGGAGCAGCCTCCAAGCTCTGAGCAAGCTGTCAGCACAGAGCCTGACACAGGGCTCGAACCCACCAACTGCGAGATCATGACCTGAGCCGAAGTCGGACACGTAACTGACTGAGCCACCCAGGTGCCCCATGGAGCATATGAAGCTTTTGATGGCAAAGAAATGCAAAACCACCTTTGACACACCAGTGCATGCTTTCAAACACACATGCAAGAAGTGATTTAAAAGTAACTCCATAAGGGGCAACAGATGTGCCTTGCTGGTGGCACTAGGAGCTGGTTCAGTTTCTTTGGAGAACAGTCTAGAAATGCATAGTTTTCACCCAGGACAGTGGGCTTTTTAAATTTAGGGGTATACCCACAAAGAAATTATTGGAAAGAATATCAACATAAGTTATCAATAGTTCACGTGGCTCTCGCTTCATGTCAGGTGCTGTGAGAAGTGACACATGACCTCACTTAATCTCCCCCAGGCCCCGAGGGATGAGAGCCTACAGCTGCACTGGCCTCACACCTAAACAGTATCCTACCTACTGCAGGCACTCAAGTCGTTGTTGACGATCTGGACAAATACTTGTAGAGTGAGATTCAGAAGAATGAAATGAAGGGCCTTATTTTTAGGACAATCTTACAGAAGATACAAAGTGAGGACATCACTGATTTCTGACACATAAAATGGACCGTCTAGATTAACCCCATGAAGGCTAAAATTGTAGGGGCTTTTATACTATCACCTAGGATTTAGCACTTTATTTTATACATACCCAAACACATATACCTACACACATACAGTCACACACATCCACACATACATATTGCCATTTATTTATCTAAGCTTTATTTTCCCAACTAGATTGGAATTTCCTTCAGGGAAAAAGCTTCTTTGTTGTATCTCCCATAATGCCTAGATTAGTGCTAGGCAAATAGGTTTTCAATAGTATGTGGTCTAACTTGAAGTTCTACAAATGGACATAAGTGAAAATTCAATGATCTAGCAAGTAATTTTCTATATGAGAAACTGATAGTGTAGTAATGAACCGGCTCTCAAAAACCATCAGGTTAAGTTCATGCTCATAGCATGACCAGCCAGTTTCAGTGAGTATCTACATATTATCCTTGGCAAAAAAAAAAAAAAAAAAAGGGGGGGCTTTCTAGGAATCAGACCCAGATTGTTAGCACAGGTTTGGTCTGAAGTGTATTCAGCTAGCATCATATTAGTGCTTCCTAACTGCTTACATCCAAGCACTTGCTATGGCCAGCTTATGCTAACTTTTTATACATACTAACTAATTATCATCACAACTTTACAAGGAAAGTATTACCCCATTTCCCAGATGGGAAAAACCGAGGCTCAGAGTGGTTTCTCAAGGTCACTCAATTAACAAGGAAACGAAGTAGGACATAAATATCTCTGGACTTCTAACCTCAAGCAATAAACATCACTTAATCATCAGTCTGGGGCTGCTCTGGTTGAAAGGACCACAGTGGTCTCGGTGAACACCGACAGCTCCTTTCCCTTCTAGGCCGCCAGAGTCACTGCGTTATTTGTTCCTAGTGAGGCAACGGCAAGGGGATTGTGGCAGGTCACTGGCCTCTGATGCAGGCTCCCCATTAGATTGATCAGAGAGCCACCAGATGAATCCAAGCCTTGAACTGACACAGCGGTGGGGCTGGCACACAGCCTCTGAACTTTTGCCCTGATTACAAGGAGTTACACCAGGTTCCTCGGTTACACAACCTGACGGACAAGATGCCCACGTTCTGCTGAGCTGGTGCTACAGAGCCCTCTGCTCACAGTCCTGTCTCTGGTGATCTGGTAGATGGGGCAATGAGGATTTTACCTAAGATGCTTTACACTGAGAATTGGCTTTGTTGGCAACCTAATCATGGCACCTGAAACTTAAACTCGACGGTGAAGTCTGTATGAGGAGGAGAGAGAGACTAGTTCTATTCTATGCCAGACCCGTGCGCGTCAGATGAATAAAAGTGAGGCTCGGGAAGTTAAGAAATGAATAAGGTCAGAGTCAGCAAGAGCTAGAACAGGGGTTTGAACCCAGCTCCCACTTTTGCGCCACGGTGCCTGCCCTACAAGGTGAAAAGCCTCCTATGATGCAGAGGAACCCCGGACCCTCACCAGCATGAGCCTCTCTTCCCCCTGCAAAGCAAGAACTCCTTGCCATTGTCCTCGAGCCCTTCTAGAATCTGTACTCACTGAGGCCAGGGTCTGTCTGTACATTTTTTACTTCCCCACAGCACCTAGCCTGCCATTGGCACGCGATCCATTCACTGAGTACAAGACAGGCTAGGACAAAAATCTGAGAAATGGGAGAACAAAGTTCATGTGCTGGAATCTTAGGTCCAGGTGCTAGAGGCCAATGACACACCTTGTGGGCATGAACAGCTTTGACCTAGTTAGTTGTGGTCCTGTACCTCCTCATTGGATGCGAACGATCACGCCTCAGTAAGCACCAGTGTTCCAGTTACATACTACAGTTGATTATACAAAGTCCTTATTGTCTTTAACTTCTGGACTAGACAAGTGCTGGCAGTCATTTCTGGTCCTCTCCCCACGCTGCCCTCAGGACAGCCATCCTCAATAAAAAAAGATACACACCATATTGTTCTTCTTACCCATTATGTTTCCTTAACCGGGCACTGGGTCATTGTTGGAGAAAAGGCTTACGGAGCACACCTAAAAAAAAAATCCTCGAAGACAAGAAAATTAAATCCTGCCATTCTAGGAAGAGGATGAGTGATCTGATGTGTCAAATTATACAAGATCCAGGCTATCTTATAGATAATATAAAAAGGAGTTAAATGAAATTTTATGTACATGAAACCTATTTAACAACTATTATAGGAGTATTTACTTTTTTTTTAATATTTATTTATTTTTGAGAGACAGAGCATGACAGGGGAGGGACAGAGAGAGAGGAGACACAGAATCTGAAGCAGGCTCCAGGGTCCGAGCTGGCAGCACAGAGCCTGACGCGGGGCTCGAACTCACAAACCGCGAGCTCATGACCTGAGCCGAGGTCAGACGCTTAACGACTGAGCCACCCAGGCGCCCCCAGGAATATTTACTTTGCTCCAGCTAAAGGAGCAGCAAAGCAACTAGCTAGCTAAATGAAGAAAGCAAGGTATTGATCCAACCCACTCCTGGTCCTCTTAATAGGATATTTTATGTCACTGGCTATTAGTGCAAGATCTAAAATGTCTTACTCTTCTCCCCTCAATATTTTAATATATCAAAGTTGAGACAGGGGCTCGGAGAAGCCTTAGGCAGCACACACTGGTCACCCTCCCATCCTGGGAAAGTGCAGACAACCATATAAGCAGGAAGGAAATAGCTCACTAAAAGGAAAAGAAAAACCAGGAAACAGGTTGTTCAAGGAAACAGATTGTTTCGGGGAAACCGAGACAAAAAGAGTAGTCAGGCTTCATAGAATATTCTTAAAAACTGTGAAGAGGCATATCTCCCAGAAGTGAGGGAAACAGAGAAGCCTTTGTACTTTTCCCCAAGTGAACTGAGAAGTCTCGACTTAGCAAAGTGTAGCAAATAAAGCAACAGGCCACAGACTGACGGCAGAGGTGAACTTCACTCCAGTAAAAGGAAGCTAGCCTCCATGAGTCATAAACAAGCATGTTTTTATGCCACTGTATGGACCGATGTTTATTCCAGAAGTGCAATAAGAAGGAGAAGGGCAGGCCTGGGAACAAAGCCTCCCCCAGAGAGAAATACTTTGGGGTCAGCAGCG